TGTAGGGCATTCTGGAGCTCAGACGCCCAGGAATTCCTGCCTGCCAGCAAGCACACGCTCACGACCTGGGTTAGCCTAGGCTGGGGGAGGGCAGCATGAAGGATTAGCTGAGGCTAGGGGGAGGGCAGCGTGAAGACCTGGTGAAGGCGTCAGTCTCTCTCTCCTGTCTCCGTCCTCTCTCTCTCTCTCTCTCTCTCTCTCTCCTCTTTCTCTTTCATGGAAGAAATCAATAAATAAACTTTTTTAAAAAAAGTGAAAAAGTATCAACAATTAGAGAGGAAAAAAGAAGAATGCTTGCTTAAAGAAACTGTATTCCAGGGACCAGCAGGTGGCGTGCTGGTTAAGGTGCTGGACACTCCTGCATGGTCAACCACAGTTCGAGGCCTGGACCTGGCCTGGACCTGGTCGCTTGCTTTCTCGCTCGCTCCACTCATGTCTCTCTTTGGTCAAATTAAAATAAGTGAATGAATAAATAAAATTAAATAAATAATTCTTTTTAAAAAATAAAAAAAGAAAGAAACTGTGTTCCAAAACAATGCGTTACAGCTGAGGGTTTTCAATATGGATTTCAGTATGGAATACTCATCTGATGCTTCTTTATTGCTAAAGAAACTTTATGTAGCATAAATGATGCTTTTAAACAAATCGAACATGCAAACCTAAGGCACACTCTATAAACAGAAACTTCCTTCTTTATGAAAATAACGCGTGCATCGCTCCTACCTTTTTATTGGCAACACCTGTCAGCTCCACGAAACTCTTCAATTTGATGTCAAAGTCACGTAGAAGTTTCCACTGATCTCCTTCAATTCCTACACCAACTTTTTTAATTGCTTCATTTTCAAGTAACATCTTTAATCCCTGGGGAAAAACTGTAATGTTTCATTGTTATTTCCATAAATTCAACAAATATAATGGATTCATTTTCTACTTATGAATTTGGCATTTACATAAGTTAATGTGTTTACATTAAGCTTAAATTCAAAAACACATTCACCTTGATTCTCTTTTCCTACCTAAAACAAAAAGTCCCGATTGATAAATGGTTAAGAAAACTAGTTCGCCTCCCTCCTCGGCTAGTTGTACGGACATCCCCGGTCACCCAGCGTCTGAGCTGGCCGAGGCCTCGTGGAGACTAAGTGATGGTTAAAGAACACAGACACGAGTGAGCGGGGCGAGAGAAGCACTGGCCGAGGGCGGGCCTAACTTCCCATGGGGAGAGCTCCCCTGCTAACAGTTATTCCCATATGCAAACACAGCAAGGAGACAGACACCAACCTGGCATACACGAAACGTGGAACAGGTAACACTTGCTGTCGGACACACACAGCTGAATTAGAGCAACTCGGGTTCGTCTCCCTCTGCTGAAGGCTGGAGGCCACTCCATGTCGAACCCTACCACATCTCCACCAGACAGACTGAGGCTACCGAGGAGAAACAATGTGAGTTAATCACGTAAACTGCTAAATTTCTGCATAATTAAAGATATCATTCAAAAATTAAGACAAGCCAGGTTTAAAGGAGATATTTGTGACACATACATACATCTTGCAATGAATAGCCAGAAATATTAAAAACTCCTTGAAAAATAAAAATAAACAAATAATGCAACCAAAAAAAGAAAAACAGAGGCAATTCCCACAGAGACTCTAAGAGGCCAGTAAATCTAAATAAATGTTAAAACGTGAATTCTCACTAGAAATCAGAAATGCAAATTAAATCTACACAATCTGAGGGGCGAGAATTAAAGCCTCCAACTGCTGAGGAAAACACCCACAGGAAGGGCCTCTCCGGTGAACATACACTTAGTACCAGGCCAGCGCGTGGCACAGGAGTCACAGCACAGGGGATGCTGGGCCCCGTGGCAATCCCAGGTTCAGCCTGGGCCTCCTTGAACACACGGGCACACACACATCCCCAGAATCCTGGCTGGCTGTGGCCGGGGACGGACCTCCACACCAAGTCCCTGCCCTGCTTACTGCCTTCCGACAGGATATGCCACAGCCTTGCCAAAGCCAGGGTGGGGTCTATGTGCAAGTATAAATAGCAGACTCAGCCTTCTCTGTGAGGCTCATTTAAATGCAATACAATGACACCTACAAGGGAAGAGGTGAACGTAGTGAAGGCGAAAATACCTGAATACGTCTTCCAGATGACATACAGGCCAGGAGACCACTAATAAACAGCTTAATTTACCTATGCCTTTTAAAACCGAAAGCTAACAGTTCAAAAAATAATAAATAAGGCAAGTATAACAACTTCACAACCGATCTGATAAATTCCATACTACTCCTGCTTATAACTTTGGCATTACTTCACTGTCCTAATTAGACAACTTTTCAAAGTACAAACGGCCATTAGAATGTTCTAAGAACCGTGTGCTATCGCCACTGCTGATTAGATATAACAGAGCTAACCACAGACATTACTCAGTACTACTGTACTGCTGGCTGGCTCCTTCCCTCTCGGGAGCCCATGTACCCTACAGCATACTTAAAAGTAAATTAAATAATAGTAATAACAATGATAAGTAAATTAATTTTTTTTAAAGTCAAAAGTTACCTAAATAGAAAAGCTTATGAATGAACAAAAAGATACATTACGAACTTAATTCAGTGATTTTATTTTTTATTTTAAAAGAAAAATATAGGGACCAGAAGTTGACGTAATGGCTATGTCACTGGACTCGCATGCAGTCAACCATAGTTCGAGTCCCAGACCCAGTGGCTTAAACTCACGCTGGGCATGTGTGCGTGCGTGCCCAAGATCCCGAGAGGAGAATGGAGGACAAGGGATTGCAGCGTGGCTATCCCCCCCAGGGGGTGATTTCTCACTTTCTGTCTCTCTGTCTCTCTCTGTCTTTCTGGTGAGTGCAGGAGCTCTATAGCAAAAACCTCTCAAAAAAATAAAATAACAACTTAGTGGTATTCTACATATAGAAATAATTATCTATTGAATATAACTCAACTATAAAACACAGTTCAAATATTACCATAATAGTTACTATCTTCTAAAGGTCGAAATTCAAATGTAATTAAGAAATTCAAGTCTCTCACCTAATATCTTCGGACAGGAAAGAGCAATCACTAGCTTCATAACTATATACAATGGATCCAGTAAATTCTAAGAAAGGGAGGTCATCTTCAAAAACACTCTTTTGAACAGATGCCTTAAGCCAAATAAAATTCAAAGTAAGCACATAAACATCATATTAAATAATAAATGTTCACTGAAACAATAAAATCCACTGAAGCATTCAAGTTACAGTTTCTAAGTTTTATTAATTAATGTTTTATACACTGGTGAAGTCTTAAAGACAATTTAACAAAGATAAAGCCAGGCCAAAGTAAAATTATTTTTCCCAGTATATTTATTTTCAAATTTCTAACCCCATATTCATAAAATATTTAATGTGTCCTTTTCTGGTAATTATATAGTGACCTAGATCTAATATGTTCCCTTAAAATGGTGAAGCCTGGTTGGCAAATCTTAAATCTATGAGAACATAAACTGTTAGCCACAAAAACCAGCAAAAGCTAATGCTGTCTAATCTTGTTTTTTTTTCTTTTGTTTATTTATAGAGATTTTTACTATAGGGCACATGCACTTGCCAGAGAGAAAGACAGCAAGAAATCACCTCTCGGGGGAATGGCCTCAATCCCTGTCCTCCACTCTCCTCCTGGGACTCTGGGCATCTGTGCACAAGTGCCCATCTTAAGTTTGTTTGTTTGTTTATTTGTCTGTGTCTCCCCCGCCTTTCTCCCTGTGCCCCGCACCATGAGTTTAAGCTACCAGGTCCAGGACTCCAAGTGCGGTCAACTAAATGGGCGTTCAGTGACGTAACCATTACACCATCTGCTGGTCCCAATATTGTCTAAATTATTATCTGAATTACAACAAACTAGTAAGATCAACCATGAAAATCAGCTATAAAAAGAAAGTATGCAGTACAAATTCTCACTTTGTAAATCTAACTAAAATTTGTTCCCATTCATACATTCAATAACTAAACCCTCTTTATTTACACACAGCGACTCTGACCTAAATAACAACCTAGTTTGTGAGGGTTGATTCTTCTATAATCAAATTTAAATTAAATTTCCCACCTGAAGTGAAAACTCACCTTTTCTCCTTCTGCAGCATATCTTTTACTTTCCATGGACATCCATCCAGGAAACTTCCGCTGCTGTGAAGTTGCTTCCAATTTTTTTTCATTCATCTTTAAAACGTCCTAATTGCAAAATCAAAAAAAATGACTTTATGAGTAAACAGAACACAATCTTTGAAAGACAATTCAGAGATAATCCTGTCCATATGATTGAAAACTAAATATAAGTATTTAAACTTATGGTACCAGGGCCAGGAGGTGGTGTGGGGTTAAGGTTCTAGACTCCACATGACCAACTGCAGTTGAGTCCAGACTCGGCAGCTTGAAACTCACGCTGGGTCCATGTGCATGAGTGCCCAAAATTCTGAGAGGATAACAGAGGAGAAGGGACTGCAGCTTGGTCATTCCCTACAAGGGAGTGATTTCTCACTTTCCCTTTCTATGCCTCTGTCTCTCTCCACTGCGTATATGCGCTCTATGGCAAAAGCCTGAGAAAAATAAAAATAAAACTATGGTATCTGGCCCCAAGTACAATTCTAAAAAGCTGGAACTGTGGGGCCACATGTAGGTTAAGGCGTTAGATTCCCATAAGGCCCGACCACAGCTCAAGCTCCGAGCCTAGCAGCCTGAAAACTCATACTAGGCACACGTGCTCATGCCCAAAATCCTGAAAGAATACAGAAAGGAGTGTGACATGGCCATCCCCAGTGGGAAGTGATTTCTCATTTTCCCTCTCTCTCTCTCCTGGAAAACATAAAATACACAAGCTAAATTTATGGACTGTAAATTTTTTTTTTTTTTTTGGAGAGGTTTTCGCTATAGGGCGTGTGCGCTGGCCAGACAGAGAGAAACGGAGAGACAGAAAGCAAGAAATCGCCCCCAGGGGTGATGGTCATTCTGCAATCTCTTCTCCTTCATTCTCCTCTCGGGATCCTGGGCACGCACGCACACGCGCCCGGCATGAGTTTTAAGCCACTGGGTCCAGGACACGAACCGCAGTCAACTACGTGGGAGTCCAGCGACACAGCCATTATGCTAACTGCTGGTTCCCTGGACTGTAAACATTTTAATACGCGTATTAGTAAACTTTGAAACATTAGTAAGTTTATAGTTATCACAAATTCAAAACCCTTGCTAGAAGTCAAAAATTGATCCCAAATTTTATATACATATATACAAAGTTATTCTTAAAATATGTTTTTATAAAGCTAGAAAATGAGCCTTTGCTATACTGAGTATACCACTGACAAAGTGTCAGAAGCTGCAGTTTCTGCAAATAGAACAGATTCCATAAAAGCAACTTTGGGGGACCAGCAGGTGGCGTAATGGCTATGCTGGACTCCCATGCAGTCGACTATAGTTCTAGTTCGAGTCTCACACCCGGTGGCTTAAAACTCGCACCGGGCGTGCGTGCCCCAGATCCCGAGAGGAGAATGGAGGAGAAGGGACTGTGGCGTGGCCATCACCCTGGGGGATGATTTCTCACTTTCTGTCTCTCTGTCCTGGAAAGAGCACGTGTCCTATAGCAAAAACCTCTCAAAAAAAAAAAAAAAAAAAACTTTAGAATTTTGGAATTTTTTAAATAAATTAGTTCACACTGCCAAAAGAGATATAAACTTCAATAACTCTTCCCTTACAATTATCTACTAAAACCACCTTAATTTGAAATAGCTCATTTTTAGATGTACGAATTCTCTCTCTCTTTTTTTTTAAGACTTTACCATAGGGTATATGCACTTATCAAAGAAAGACAGAAAGTGAGAAATCACCCCCTGCAGGAATGGTCACACTGCAATCCCTTCTCCTCCATTCTCCTCTCAGGATTTTGGGCGCGCACACACACACATAATCGGTGTGTTTTTGAAGCCGATGGGACTCGAACTGCAGAGGCAACCAGTGGGATCCACTTTAACCACCACACCACCTGCTGGTATATTCTCTTTTACACCTAGCATTCTCTCGTGGACGCTTTCAAACAAAGAATCTGAAGGTATATTTGTTTATGAACCTGTTATCTTTGGGAAATTTACTTAAGATCTTGGGACAGATATACAGCACACAGAAAATGTATGTTATACTTTGCAATATGAAACTCTTTTCACATACACAAATACTAAGATTTCAATTCTTGATCAGATAAAGGTTGATCTTAGAAGGGAACAAAGTCACAGCATAGTTTTTCATTTATATGTCATTGAGGATAAACAACTCTGACACGCCCTTTTCTAAAATCACATCCTTTATAACATTTCATAATGCTTCATGTCATACAGTGAAAGGATCTTAAATCCCCCTTGGAGGGGCCAGCAAGTGGCCAACCACGGTTCGAGTCTTAGACCTGGTGGCTTGAAAATCACACCAGGTGCATGTGTGTGCCTAAAATCCTGAAAGAATGGAAAAGGGCTTGCAGAATGGCCATCCCCCAGGGGGGTGATTTCTCACCTTCTCTCTGTCTGTCTCTGTCTCTCTCCAGCGAGTGCACACACCCTCTGCCAAAAACCTTTTAAAAAGATAATAAAATCCCCTGTGGAAATAAATGATATATTTGATTTGCTTTAATTTGGAATTCTCTGAAATTATCTTGCCTACTTACCTACCACTACCTACCACTTTTCAACATTTCCGAGTATTTTAAAGGCTGTCTGGGACTTTATTGTTGTTTTGCTGTGATTATTCTGTTTGTTTTATCATTTTGAATAGTCCATTTGAACATGTCCTTCTTTGAGTATGGAAATACATCTCATTCCCAGGTAGTACAAGAATTTTAGTTCTGGGGCTAGCAGGTGGTATGGTAGTTAAGGTGCTGGATTCCCACACGGCTGACTCTGCAGTTCAAGTCCTGGACTTGGAAGCTTAAAAATCATGCCGGGCATGTATACATACTCCAAATCCCAGGAGAATGGAGGAGAAGGGACTGCAGAGTGGCTATCCCTCTTGGAGGGTGATTTCTCATTTTCCCATTCTCTGGCAAACGCATTTGCTCTATGGCCTAAGGGGGGAAAAAAACTGAGTTTTCCCTTTCACCTTACTGTGAATAATATTTACTTCATTTATTCAATCTGTCTCTCTCTTTCTCTCGGTCTCCCTCTCATGGAAGAAATAAATTACCAAAAAAAAACCAAACATGATTATGCTACCATAAAGCTTTATGTATAGAGGCCAGCAGATGACACGATGGTTAAGGCACTGGACTCCCACATGGCCAGTGGTGGTTCGAGTACTGGACTGGACCTGGAGGATTGCTTACTTATTTTCCCTCTCTGACCACCTGCTGGTATATTCTCTTTTACACCTAGCATTCTCTCGTGGACGCTTTCAAACAAAGAATCTGAAGGTATATTTGTTTATGAACCTGTTATCTTTGGGAAATTTACTTAAGATCTTGGGACAGATATACAGCACACAGAAAATGTATGTTATACTTTGCAATATGAAACTCTTTTCACATACACAAATACTAAGATTTCAATTCTTGATCAGATAAAGGTTGATCTTAGAAGGGAACAAAGTCACAGCATAGTTTTTCATTTATATGTCATTGAGGATAAACAACTCTGACACGCCCTTTTCTAAAATCACATCCTTTATAACATTTCATAATGCTTCATGTCATACAGTGAAAGGATCTTAAATCCCCCTTGGAGGGGCCAGCAAGTGGCCAACCACGGTTCGAGTCTTAGACCTGGTGGCTTGAAAATCACACCAGGTGCATGTGTGTGCCTAAAATCCTGAAAGAATGGAAAAGGGCTTGCAGAATGGCCATCCCCCAGGGGGGTGATTTCTCACCTTCTCTCTGTCTGTCTCTGTCTCTCTCCAGCGAGTGCACACACCCTCTGCCAAAAACCTTTTAAAAAGATAATAAAATCCCCTGTGGAAATAAATGATATATTTGATTTGCTTTAATTTGGAATTCTCTGAAATTATCTTGCCTACTTACCTACCACTACCTACCACTTTTCAACATTTCCGAGTATTTTAAAGGCTGTCTGGGACTTTATTGTTGTTTTGCTGTGATTATTCTGTTTGTTTTATCATTTTGAATAGTCCATTTGAACATGTCCTTCTTTGAGTATGGAAATACATCTCATTCCCAGGTAGTACAAGAATTTTAGTTCTGGGGCTAGCAGGTGGTATGGTAGTTAAGGTGCTGGATTCCCACACGGCTGACTCTGCAGTTCAAGTCCTGGACTTGGAAGCTTAAAAATCATGCCGGGCATGTATACATACTCCAAATCCCAGGAGAATGGAGGAGAAGGGACTGCAGAGTGGCTATCCCTCTTGGAGGGTGATTTCTCATTTTCCCATTCTCTGGCAAACGCATTTGCTCTATGGCCTAAGGGGGGAAAAAAACTGAGTTTTCCCTTTCACCTTACTGTGAATAATATTTACTTCATTTATTCAATCTGTCTCTCTCTTTCTCTCGGTCTCCCTCTCATGGAAGAAATAAATTACCAAAAAAAAACCAAACATGATTATGCTACCATAAAGCTTTATGTATAGAGGCCAGCAGATGACACGATGGTTAAGGCACTGGACTCCCACATGGCCAGTGGTGGTTCGAGTACTGGACTGGACCTGGAGGATTGCTTACTTATTTTCCCTCTCTGTCTCTCTCTGGTGAATTAAAATAAGAATAATAATAAATAAAAATAAATAATTCTTTAAAAAAAAAAAAAAACCTTTCTGTATAGACACTGAAGCCTGAATCTATACAACTCTCACAAAATACGACGCTTCTTTTCGATCTTTATGACCAATAAACATGTAACCCAGTGGGCTCACGGTCAGTACGGAAACGAGCTGCAAGGCTAAGGTGGCTCCAGCCAGCGTGCAGCCCTCCCGAGGCTGGAAAGGGCCAGGGCAGGCGTCATCAACAGTGTGCTGTGGCTAATCCGTAACCTCTATAGTATACCGAGAAAATATCAGTAAGAATGGGACTTCTAGGTAAAATGTTGTGATAAATTAGCTCAAAATGGACCTCATGAGAGTTAACTGGGTGGATTTATTATACAGGTTTGGCAATATTAGTCAACTAAATGTTAAGAGATTATCTGTGAAAATTATAACTCACATAGAAAAACAATTCATCGTGAGTCTATTTGACAGCAATTAGTAGCACGAGT